GATATAGATATCGAGCGTAAATTCAGACACAATTCAATCATTAAATATTTTTATATTTAAATGATAAAAATTCTCTCTCTTCTATTTACTTATATCCACATCTAGTTATCAACAAATTTAAAAACTATCCAAATAATCCACTAAAAAATAAACTCATTTATTAATTCGAAACTTGTATACATTTTTTTAAAAATGAGATTCATCTCTTTCAAAATTATCTCATTATTTCATACTACCACACGCTCGACCGAATATCTCACGATATATCCACGTAAAATCTCGGTACCTTAGTTTTTCCCGATTGGAATTTACATCACGTACGAACCGAGCTGGGTCTAGGATATTAGGGATAAGAGGAAGCCGCTCCTATTATTAAGAAAAAAAAAAATGGAACAACCTTCTTCGGGAGGTTGGCGAGCCATCTTTTCGAACGAGCGAGTTACCAGAAATCTGTGAATGCCGAAGCTGGACACGGGGCACAAACGTCTCTCCGCCATCCCACCGACCATCTGCCCCCGGTCATTCTCCTACCTGAAACTTCTGTTCACCTGGCGTCCCTTCCACCTACCCCCCGTGTTACTTTCGTTTATCTTATTTTTCGGACCATTCAACAGCCTCTCCGCCAACTACTGCCACCGGTTCTTTGTGAGAGAAGTGGCTGCTGCCTCCGCGAGATACCGTGCCCTCTGCCGCATATTTTTCTCAATGGAATTTGCCAACAGCTGGAAGCGGAAGAAACGGATCCTTCCTCCTCGTCGATCCCGCGTACTTATGCAAAACGTTTAATTAAACAAGTCGGATCATGATGAGATGAACGCTTCGAATGATATAGTTCTATAGACTAGGAGAAAACGAATGCGTTTTGCTTTTTAGAATCCAGATAAATACTCGGAGAGATTTCAAAGAAATAAATAATAATGGGACGAATTTAATGGGGAAAAAGTGTGTACGAATACGTTGTCAAAATAAATATAGAAAACGATACGCGTGTGATACGATCGGTAAATTTAAACGATTTCCTCTTATTGCAAAGAATCGTATACACCAATGATAAACTAAACGTGTTTCAAATAATCGAGCGGTTTATTGGGAAAAGTACGTATTGCCCTCTGATAAATCAATATTTGGTATTGATAATTTTTCTTTTCAAATTTTTCTTCATACAGAATTTCCTCGAAATTTAAATAGGCAGATATATATCGTCACCTTTTAATACCTTTCCCTCCGCTCCCCGAGCTCTCCAATTAATCGACCGTTCGCTCGTACAACTTCATTGCTTGTTTCAATGGTATCCGACACTCGGGAATCGCAAAGTGAACTATGCTGTTCCTACGGTAAACTCCATTTCTCGCGCGTTCGCCGCGTAAATAAATGCATGCCGATCGAGCATTAAATGCACACGATCGAATATGCACAGGAATGTAGTTTACGGGGAATGTTAATGAAACAATTAACTAACATTGCTGGCAACGTCTGGCCCCCAAGGAGAATCGAATGGATAATTCAACGTTACGAATCCCAGATGGTTTGAAAGAGCGATACATCGCGTGGCTATTTATCGTACGTACGGCCGATTTATCGAGTCGTATCGTACGTAAGCTCTTATGAATGTTGGTTCGTTAGACGAATCGAAATACCCGATATATCTCTACTACCGATTTCTAACTTCTGTTCGTTAAGTGAAAAAAACTCGAACTCGTCAGACGTCCCGTCGACCGGGAAAACTTCATTTCATGCGCGTCGAATTCTATCGCGTGGAACAGCAAACGTGTAACGTTAAGTAAATGTTTCAAAAATTGATAATTCAACATCTTGTGCGATTAATCATTGTATATCAGGAAAATCTGATAGATATTTTAATATTATAAGAGAAGAAAGTTTGTGCCGATGTTTTATAAGATAAGGGTATAAAGATATTTATTTATTAGAAATATTTTTTAAGATTTGATATCTCATTCTAACGTACGATTTTAATGTGGTTCCGTATATATTATGTGACTTTCCAGGAAGTACTGATTGGTAATTTTCAGGATTATAATTTAAAACGTTTTATGACAAGGTAATTACGTTCGAAGTATTGTAAGAAATTGTCTCTTCTTTCTTAGAAAGGAATCTATCTATTTTTATGGTGAAACTTAGCACATGTTTGATTATAAATGGTACAAGTTATCATCATAAATCACTCAAGATAACATTATATCTATTGCTTAGATGTAGTATTTCTTATAAAATATCCAATAATTGTAATTATTGTCTCGTTATTAATGTTCTAAAATAATATTCAAACTAATTCTGAATCTTATCAATTGATTTTTTTTTTGTAAGACAATTTATTTCAATACTACACAGCTGGTGTAGAATAGAAATTAAATTGAATTAAATTAAACCGCGTGTTGAGTAATGTATAAACGAAATTAAATTGGAGAGTTCTATTATCACGTGTTTTATTTATCCGATCATTGAATGAAGGAATTATTTTTTAAATAAACATCTCTAGAACGAAATATTAAAGTACTCGATTGTATTAACATTGTGAATTGAAGTGTTTATTAAATAACTCTATATTTCTCGTTAAACTGGCGCACTAGGAAGAGTAATTAAGCTTTTTTTAAGACAGAGTAATTGTTCCTTCCGCAATGAACGATTACTGGACTCAGTGGTCGATGCTGCCCACAATGGTAACTATTGCTGCAATTGCTTATACGGAGCGGATGGTGAGGTAATTGTTAGCCGTGATGCATGCAAAATTATCATGCGAGTGGATTAGATCCTGTGAAGACCTTAAGGTCTTCTAGCACGATCTTCTAATCACCTGCGCTAAAGCGAAAGCTTCTGCTTGCAGGCGTTAAATCTAAATTTGATTAACTTAATTGAATCTTTGAATAGATAGTACATGCATGTTCACCGTATGGAATAACGAAGACACGTGATAAACGTATTTTTAATCAGGTTTTAACAAAAAAAAAAGAAATTTTAACAAAATCGTAAAAATATAAAAAAAAGAAATATCTTCAATATGATCATCATATCAAATCAATTATCTTTTCTGCGATTTTCTATGATTTCGAATGATTTATCGCGTCATCACATGACGATATTATCTTAAAATTCAAATTGAAAAAGATAACTCACCCTGCGCGGTAAGAAGTAATACCAAAAGACCAACAAATCGCAGCGACAGCATGTCGTCTTTGTTTCAAAAGCACTGTCAACAAACGACACAATTGGCACTATAGTTGTCGTTGGATTTGAAACTTTATTTTCAGCTTGGAGAACGTGCTTATAGAATTGGACGGTAATTTCACGATTTCGATATAATAATTCGATTGAATTAAGAACCGAACGTATCCACCGATACGAGGTGGATACCGAATACAAACTGAGAGAACAAGCGCGCGTGGTATCCGAAGAGCGGCGACGGAACCGGGCCCCCGGCTTTTTACGGGACTGCGCCGACCGGTTGCGCATTGAACGAACTCGACACGCGCCTGAATTTCTATTGGAATATACTTACACACCTACGATATATATTTGTGTAAAGGTGCCGACTACTCTATACAAACGCGTGCCTATACGAAAATGAATATGTATTCGATAGTTCAATGTCGCATAAACGTTGCACGAATTTATATCCGTTTTTTAAATAAAATTATACTTTCATTTATAACTATTCGAATTTTTTAAATAATTTTGATTTATATTACGTGTATTTGCTCTCAATGATTAACAACGAGAACGTATAACTATTATTTTCGAATAAAAATTTAATTTTTATTAAAAACATAATAATAAAAATATTTTTAATTTATTTATTATAATATCATATAAAATTATATAAATTAATTTATTATAATATCATATAAAATATGATTTTGTAATGATTAGTTAAGACATGATTAGTTAATTAGGACAATAAGAATTACGTCAAATGAAAACAGAAAAAAAGCAAATATTTATAGGAAATCGCAGCTAAGCATAAATCAATTTGTACAGAAAGATAAAAGGAGGAATACATATCGAATATCGAATTTATATGTGTACAAAGTTTTCTGAACGCATAAAATATAAGCTCACACATATATATGTACGCGCGTGAGAAGCATGTATTTGCACGATACTTTCGTCGTTCGCTTACCTCTTTCGATTCATCCATTCACTTTGTCATTGTGCATAAGACGAAAGCCAAAGAGCATTCACTTTACATTCTTTTTCTTCTCTAAACAAATTAAAAATAACATTCATAGAATATATTTTATTTTAGAATACTTTTGATTAAATAATGTCAAGTTAATATCACAGGAAAATTTTCATTACATTAAATTTAGCAATTTGAATAAAACAACACAATGAATTTATATGTAAATGTAAATTCGTAGAAAAAATGAATAATATTGTAATTATGAGAATGAAATATAAAAATATATAATTCGTAATAACATTAAGTATATTATCATATAAATGATTCATACTTTTACAAAAAATGGTGATGATGTCATTTTATGAAATATATTACAGGTTATATCTATAGGTATTTTAAACATTGTTAATGAATATGTTTATTTTAAAAAAAATTGTAGTTTTTTCTTAATACATTTAATTCTTTTAAATATAAATAAACAATAAATTTTGATTTTTTCATAATATGTAAAATAATATGATGAATATATAATAATATTTTTAAAACAAATAATCATTAATTTTTAAATGAACTTTGTATATTGCATTTATTTTTATACTTTGATTAAATTTCACTTAAAAAAGTATCTTTAAACACTTTAAACAAACGTAACAATAAAAAACAAATTAAATTTTTGATAATGCAAATAAAAAAATATTTGAATTTTATATCTATTAGTTTCGACAAAAGACTAACATTTTCATTTCCCGTGATAATAAACAAAGATCTTATTTTATTTCATATATGCGATATTCTTTTTTTAGTAGAAAACAACTATAAATTTATATATAATATTTATTTTTAAATACATACTTTATACAAAATATTTATATCAAAGTTTTTAGAATCATAAAATAAATCTAAACTATTGAATTGTTTGATGTGAATTATAAGATAACCTACTATAATATTTTATTTTTCTTAAGTTCCTAGTATAGCCATCTCGTGATGAAATTGTGAAACTAAAATGTAAAATTTATATAACTATTCGTGATATGTGTTGCTAAGCGTATAAAAAATGAAATTTAATATTTGAAAATAAGAAAATATTTCTGTCAAGATTATTAATATATTAATATAAACTGAAAAATATGAAAAAAAGGAATCAAGTATTTTCCGGTGTAACCGGAACAGTGAAATTTCATTCGCAAAACATGTCATTTGATTGGTTATTTTTGAAACAGGTTAAAATCCCGCTAAGAAACTCTGATGCCTTTACGAACGCAAAGGGACAAAGGACGCTGTCGTACGCAAGCAGATGGACGCCATGTTCATTTGTCAACGGACGTCAAGGTGTGATCATCGGAAAGAGTAAGATTGCTTCAAAAAATATGAAGATATTAAGTGCTTTCATTGAATAATTTTACAAGTTAATGTGTATTTAGAACGATATGGCATCTTTGGAACTACAAGATCGGAAGCTAGAAGAATATGAAATGCAGCTGTTTAACTTTCATTCAAGATCCGTGTATGCTACTTGTAAGGCGCCGCCGTTTTGAGTTTCACTTGAATGCTTTTCAGATTTTATAGCATTCTTGTTGTGTACAACTATATATTCTAATCGTTGGACGGGTGCACTCTGGTATCATGTGGATTTGCTCATGACTAGAGTCACACTCGTCCATTGCTTGGAATACTTTCACCAGCCTTACGGACGAAGTTAATCACAAAGACGACTACGCTTCACTTCTTTTCTCATCTCATCTCATCTCATCTCTTCTGTTCTCTTTTCTTCTCTTCTTTTCTCTTACACTTTTCTCATAGATACCAAAAAATAAAATTTGACTTTAAATCAATATATGTATCAAATTTCTATTGCATTTCTTTCTTTTATTTTTATGTGTATTTCTATCATTCAAAAGCCTGAATTAAACTAAAAAATATATATAAATAAATAATATAAAAAAAATTATATTTGATAAATATTTATTTTTAAAGCTTTAATAATGGATTTATAAATTTTTTTATTGCTAACTCTTTAGTAATATACTATTAAAAATAGGATATAATAATAGCACAAGTTATACATTCCTTTTTTTTTTTTATAGTGAAATATATTGTGAATGAAAGGATTCATTGTACAATTAAGAAGATGTGTGAGACAATTGAAAAAGCATACAAACTAAATTCTGAAGATTTAGCAGTACTTAAAACAAATCAAAAACATTTAGAAAAAGCATATTGTAAAGGAGCAATACCACACTTAACAAATATTAAGGTAATTACATTAGCTAGTAATGTAAACAAAAAAATAAAGATTTCTTTTTTCCCTTAGTATTTGTGAAAAAGTATAACTACTTTGTTTAGACTATTGTAAAAAAATGTATTGCTGTTCCAAGTAATGTTTTGTTAGAAGAGGACAAATGTCAAAGGATACAATATAATGACACAGAATTTAAAAACATAAATCAAAAATTAGAAGATTTACAACAAAGAGCAAAAAGAGTATGTATTTAAGTTTTTCTATTGTGACTATTTTAAATAATAATAAAATCTAATTTTATATGAACATTATATAGGCTACTATTTTAAATTCAATATTGAAAGAAGAACTGCAGTTTTTAGAAGAATTTCCAGTCACTGAAGAAAATATAAATAAAATGTGTTATGTAACAGAAAATATTGTACAAAATCCTGATGTAATTGAAAAAATGTATCAGTTAGTGGAAGATTATAATCAATTTTCCACAAGTCTTAAAACGACATCAATAACAACAAAAATGAAGTATAATACAGTAGATAATCTTAAATGCAAAGAATTTGATGTAAATAATTTATAAGTTTAAAATTTTTTTATAATTTAAAATAGTATAATTCTATTTGTTTAAAATAATTTTTTCTACAAATAAACTAAATGTTAAAATTTTTAAATTGATTTTATGTTATATTTTCATTGTATGAATATATTCCTAAGAGATTATTCTTATCATAAAATTAAAAATTCATATCACTTGAACAAATATCTAGCAAACTGTACATATTTTTTCTATTCAAACAAATTATTTATATTTCATATGTTAATTTTATTATACTTATTTTAATTAACATAAAAGGAAATTTCTAAATATTTAATAGTAATCAATATATGATAATTAAAAAATAATAAATTAACATAATTAAAAGTTCGATAAAAAAAAATTATATAACAACTAATTAATATTCTACATGAAAACTATGAAAATTTTAATATAAAAAAAAAACGAAAATAAAATGGAAAAATAAAAATCAAAAATTCATAAAAATTTAATAAGTATAAATACACTGTTAATCTGTTATTGACTCGTTCACTTCCAGCATAAGGTCACTTACACGATTCCCTTCTTCTTAGATATATAAAGAAGGGATATGTTAGACCAGCTACCCACAGTTAGGTTTCTTTCACATAAGCAATGAAAGTTTATACATATACGACGAGACAGGAATCTTTTTTGTGTCCACTGTGTCTTGCGTGCTTGTGTATAAACTGGCATTCCCGGTTTTAGCTTCTTTCTTTCTGTTTGCTTGATAGTCTTATATTCAGCTTCCGCGCATTTGTGTAGAAAAGACCTTAGAGTATACTAGCGCTTCTCCATAAAGCATTTCGGTAGTGGGGCTCGTCATAGTGGGGATGTTCACTTCGGCGCTTAACAAAGATTTACAAGCATTATTCCGGCACGTTTTGCTGAATATAATTGAATGAAATAAGGTGTGCTATTATAATTTTTTATTTCTTATTAAAATAATTTTTATTATTACATTAACATCAATGTTAACGTTAAGGAAAAATAATATTAATAAATTAATTTAAAATGATTCTTAATGATTAAAATAAAAAACATGTTTTTAACAAAGGTTATATATAAAATAATTTCAAATTTTTCCAAAATTATATTAATATAATTTTGAAAATAAAATAAAAATAGAAATGAAAATATTAAAAAAATAATTTATATATTTGAAATTGATTTTAATTTTATAATATTTAAAATTATCATATATTGAATATGATATATATATATATATATATATATATATATTAAAACATATTAAAATATATACTA